TGCCAAGATGTATGTTGCTGTCTTTGATGATGATGATGATAATAATGAAACCATTCCTCTCTCTATGACCTAAAATCAGGGAGGAAGGCCGTACTGAGTCCAAGTCATACACATTGAGTAGCGGCGATATCCGATGAGCGAACCTCATCTAAAATTACGGGATCTCGTTACACTGAAACCTGAGATGGGAGCAGAACAAACGCTGATCCAAGACTTGTAGTTTCCATATCAGGCCTCTAAATGAACTCCAGTTGCCAAAAAATCCCCACTGGTCACTTCAAGTGATGCGGTGACAACTCGGCAAGTTGGTAAGACGATGAATGAAAATCAAGAAGTCGCGATGAGAACTACAATGTAAGGATTCAGAGTTAAGGATCAGAAAAATTAGATAAACGGCCGCGATTACCATACATCACGCTCGCCTCGTTTGCAGTAACAAGTGAGGCAGAATGTACATCCCATGTCGACTGCTCCGCTGATTATGACGGCAAATTTCGTAACAGAACAAAAATAAAAACCAAATGCTTTCCAAAACATCCAGCCACTATCTCACGGTATTTTAATACATCGGCCGTTAAGTTCTGCATCCATTACAACCAATGACTCGAAAACCTGAACACGAGTGTTGAAGGGACCAAGGAACCGCATTAGGGTTGAAACAGCCGTTGAATGCTGTTGAATGTTAGGGCCGCGTGAATCCTCACAAAAGAAAACTCCCAGCAGTGTAGATAAAGATGCTCAAACAAAAACACCAATTAAAGTACACGGCCTAACTTATATGATATATCTACCCATCAATAAGTTGAACTCACCAGAATAACAGCTTATTTTTAAGATAGCAAGTTCTCTGGTAAAATACAAAATCCAGAACATTGGACGAAAAAAGGGCACCAGGATATCACAGAGATTAACACACTTCAGAGGTTGGATCACATTGTGTCGATTGTTTCGGTGACTACCGTTAGAAGGGGTANCTCCCAGCAGTGTAGATAAAGATGCTCAAACAAAAACACCAATTAAAGTACACGGCCTAACTTATATGATATATCTACCCATCAATAAGTTGAACTCACCAGAATAACAGCTTATTTTTAAGATAGCAAGTTCTCTGGTAAAATACAAAATCCAGAACATTGGACGAAAAAAGGGCACCAGGATATCACAGAGATTAACACACTTCAGAGGTTGGATCACATTGTGTCGATTGTTTCGGTGACTACCGTTAAGAAGGGGTAAAGAAAGTTATTCGGCCTAAACATTCCTGCTGCAGAGATGAAAATGAGGTCAATTGTCATATAAAAATAAACATCTGTTGCGTCATGAAGGAGCATCTGTGTCACACGATGTTGAACAAAATTCCTTAAAAAGGGCGTGGTTGTATAGATAGTCCCGTTCATAGATGAATTGTAACATAAGTTCTGCAGCTGTTCGACGTTGTTCTATCATAGCGGGATCAACCCGCTTGCAAAACCCCACACTAGGAAGGGAAGGAAAGGCTTCAGCACGGTACAGCTGCCTATAATAATGCCCCAATGTATCTTGCAATTTTCGAAAGTCGCTAAACCGTTTGTAGAACTCTCTGACTTCCACCTTGCCATCCACAGAAACCGGCTGAATTTCAATACGAACTTTGTACATAGTGAAATTTTTCGAAGGATGTGGTACTGGGTCAATAACATGGACGCAGTAAATTTCAGTAACCGGTTGTGGTTTCCTTGCCATTGAACTACATATATATCACGGAGGCTGAAAAATACAAAATAAGATGACGGTGAATACGTAAACAACTTAAAAGGGCAAAAATGATGACTACGAGTGGGGCTAATAGTCTCTCATACCAGGTTGGTCTATGGGTGGACGTTTGACGAACAGTCTCCTGGCCCTCCAGGTTGAGGGTTGGAACATGTGTGGCGACGTGTTCCGTAAAAATGGTTATGTACAGGCATTCCCAGCCCATCACCGCCGCCTTGCCGTTAGGCTTTTGAGCCAGACTTTGGTTGAGGAGTCTAACTGTCCTCCTGGCTAGGTGTGGTCGTCCTGGCAGTATCCAGCCTTCGTACAACCATGACATTTACAGCTGATACTACTCTCATGGCTCAGTGGTTCGTGCGCGAATTTACTGACCGGAAGGTTTGTGATTCGAAACCGACGTCTGCCTCTCGACTTCCCCTGTCCAGGCTTGGGCAACCTGGCAGGATCCCAGCCCTCGTGCTTCCTTCAGGTGACATGGCAGCTAGGCACCGAAAAGGTGTTACAGCCGAACGGTTATCTTTCTTTTTCTTTACTACTCTCATGCCACATCGGCCGTCGCGGAGTGCCACCGGCCAGTTCGCGTACCTGTTGCATACAGCAGGGCGGGTAAGCGAAAACATAATACTGCTAACGCCTCCCTTCGTACACTTTCACGTTTTCCGTCTTCCACCCTCGCCCACCCAAATTTGAATACTCTGTCCGCAGGTGCCATGCTCTACCACTGACCGTTTTGCTCACTCTGAATTACACTCTGCTGCAGCTTCTGCACGTCCGAGTTCAGTTACAACCCTAAACACTTCGAAGTTTGTTTTCAAACCTCGAAAGGAGCCTTTAACATTCTGTACTGTGATCAAACTAACTAGCCCCTCGCTCTCCTCCGGGTTTCGGGTCGCGCAACTCTGGTGATGCATAGGCCGCTGGAGCTAGATATGCTGGGATGGGTATTGTATTGAGCGAACGAGCGGAAGCGTCTCTGCTTGATTGGATACTCGTTGAGTATCGCCTCTGTGCGGTTCGTTTGGCAAGATCTGTGAGAGAATCTAGAGAGAGTGAGGTCCATCGCACTACATTTAGTGTCTGCTTACGCCCCAACTGACCGTAGGTCTGAATCTGTCAAGGACAGTTTCTGTGATGCTATTGGTGCCCTTCTACAGCAGGCCATTAGATCAGATATCCTTGTTATCGCTGGTGATATAAACGCCCAGGTGGGCATACTATAGTAAGCGCTGCTGGGGCCCCATTGGGTGGTCGTCTTGGTTTGGACACGATACGCACATACAACGGAGACAGCTTACTTCAGATGTGTGCCTATCAAAGGCTGTTCCTTTGCAGTATGAAGTTCCGGAACATCGGATGTCGCTTGACAGCGTGGTGCGCACCGACAAACGAGCTCCGAATCCAAATAGACCTTTTCGCCGTCAGTTATCGGTGGCTAGGGCCGCCTGCCGCTTCTTCTGGAACACCAGCG